GGGGGGGGGGGGAAATGCTTCTGCACGAACTTCTTCGAATCCAAACCCTTCAGAATCGGTGGTGCCCCCCGAAATTTGATCAACTCGGGAGTTATATGTTTCTACATTTTTGTCATTTTCTTCAATCTTCTTCTCTCCCGATTCAATTCTCTTTATGAGCTCTTCGAGCATTTTCATAACGGTGGGGTCAGTCCCCGATTCATTCACGTTTGACCTCTCCAGTACTGGTTTGGCCTTGTGAACAACTTCCAGTGAGGGCTCGGGTTCGACCCTACTCGATGAGCGATTATGATTTTGGAGTTGCGCTATGGCAGCTTGTTGAGCCTGCAACATTTCAAATATTAATCGAAGGCTGACTCCGCCGTCTTCGCAGCCCCGTGTATCTTGGCCGGCTGGTCGAACATCTCCGCGGATACTATTTTCGGGGTCGACGCCCAGATTCGCATTTAGGGCAACATAGGAATTGACGTCGATGAGGTCTGCAACTAGTACTCCCTCGAGGCTGGCCTGAGGTACTTCGATCCCTAGGGCGGCTATATTGTTGTTTTCCCCATGAAAACCAAGGCCATTTTCGGCGTGTGTGGGTATTGTTTGAGAGTTCTACATGCTGATCCTGAAATCAAAAACACTTACAAGAACAAGCATAAAGCAGTGTGCGTTATAAGAATTTGTACCGGGCAATCACTATTATCCTTAGCCCCACAGTGGGCACCAAACTATTTATCCTTAAAATCGAATAACAATTAAACTTATAAGTGGTTTTAAGGATATGTAATTTCACCTAGCACAAATTGGTAAATATGATAATTAATGCTGGAAATTGGCTGTAAATAAAGCAACCCACTATTGGATGCAACTTGGCACTCGAGGTAGATCGCCCTCGAACCGGCAAAATGTTTGATTAAGAAATATGAACTGAACTGAAGAACAAGAGAGCTTAAGAGAGAAAAATGTATATTATTGCTTTCATTTGCGAGAGTTAGATGATTACAAATGATTAGAACCCCCCTTTATATAGTAGAAGAATTCTACATATGGTACAATTTTAATTACATAAGGAAATCCCATGATTGGCTAAATAACCATTCTTAATTTGATCCGTGCCGAGATTTCCACCACGATCCTTGCCCGGACACGGATCTCAGCTTTCCGTTAATAGGCTTTCTTCGGTCTCGCTCGATGTCTATTCTGTTTGGACTCGATCCTGGGTGGTCTCAATCTCGATTGGTACTTCGAATCCCGAGCTTGGTACCGCACCTTCATGTCTCGGTCTGATATAACACGGAACCGATCCTCGGTCTCCCGTCCTGGTCTCTATTAATCGAACAAAATCGGATGAGTCCGGTTTTGACCGTGTACAGAATTCTTGAACAAAATAATCCCAAATGAAGACAAAAATGTGCCTACTTAAACAGAGAAAGAAACAGGCACAAGACATGTTGTTTCACCTTAACAAAACACTGCATACATTCAAACACAGTATCAAAAACGACTAGCTTAGATTTGAAGAGTGGTAGAGTCGCACTTTTAAACCATTTTTTATCCATTTATCATGAAGAAAATGCTATTCTAATATTAAGAAGCTAGTCAAATTTAGAGTAATCTCCCAAGATACAAATGAACCTTTCCCACACATTCCATGTTTAGAAACAAGAGAATGAAGGCAAGTATTATTGTTTCATCTACTGGACGCTTCAACAATCAAGCGCAGATTCACAAGAAGAACAAAGATCCAAACATCAAAACTATAAACGTGAACAGAACTAAGTTAGACCAGGTTTCGATAAGAACCAAATACTATGCAGAATATTCAAGAAGTCCCATAAATCTTAATCAATTTTAACCGCAATATTAGCAACGTGAATATCTACATCACAACCAACATCTGACTACTACAGATTAAAATTCCAATTCCATCTTTAGATGGCTCTTCCAATATCCTACATATACACCATATTAACAACAAATAAATAAAAGAAAGGGAAGGGATGAACCTGAAATGATTTTCCTATAATATATGTAGAGAATGCTATGAATCCGCGTACAGCAAATGTTGTCCTGAACTGCCAATTTCAAACAGCATAAGAAAATCGAACCACGATCAGAACTCGAACCGGCGACTAAAATCGAAACCAAGCACCGCCTCAAACTAAATCGATTCTTGAAACCCCCAAAACCAAAGTCGATGAAGCAGATATATATGCTCCTCCCAATTTATGTGAAACTATTTTCTTTTTAGTCCGTGCCATAAATTGAAATAGAGGAAGTATATCCCTTTTGGTTTTCTGGATTTTTAAGAAGAAAACTAAAAATTAATTGAACTCTTTATTTTTGTTTTTGTATTTTTGTTTTTTCTAGAGCTTCAACTAAAATTAAAAAAAAACAAACTGAAGATGGAAGATTGAGAAAAAAAAGAACCCCATTTTTAGAACCCTAGTTTTTCCTCCTAAAATTTTTATCCCCAAAAAAATCCCCCAAAATTCTGGAAAAGAGTACCAATATATAGAAAATCCCGAAATTTTCATTTTCCTTCCCAATTCGAATTTTGCCCTCTCTTTTTAGCTTATCCTAGACAAATGGAGGGCTAGGATCAATTTCGAATTAATCCTACGCCTCTCCTTCGTCTAGCACGTGCTTAAGTGGTATTTTTGATGAGTTGGATTGAGATTTAGAGGGAACACGTGAAGGAATCTGAGTTAGTGATGGTGTGACTATATGGCAAAGAGAGAAGAAGAGAGGAGGGGACCAAAACACGTGCTGGAAAATGCTTTCCCGGCGGGTTGTGGCGGCGGGCAGAGGTGGAGAGAATGGGTGGTGCGGCTAGTCTTTGGAGATTAGGTCTAGTGTTTGGATGATATTAGCTTTATACATGGCATGAAGGAAATATCTTGGCCATTGGATTATGGATGGAAGGCCAAGATTGAATCACTTAAAACTGTTGGGTCAAATGGGTTTGATGGGCATGAATCGCGGGTCATGGGTTGAAAATGGTTTGAGGGAGTGGGTATGGAGACTAGGATGTCTGGTTGGGCCTGAAAAATCCGAACCGTGCCAAATTCCTTGAACTTTTAAAAAAACAAAATAAAATAGAGAAAATCTCACTTTATACCCATTAATTCCAAACTATTTACCCTTTAATACCCATGCCCAAACTATTTATTACACCTACCCATGCAGCCCAAACTATTTACCAGGTTATTTCCCAATAATATATGAGGGAGTAATAATTGGAATCACGTGCGGCTTGTCCCTCAGCTCAACTGCTTCTCCAACTCTTACTCCACTCTGCTCTTTATTCATTTGAAGCAAAAACGACAATCCCAATTTCAGCAATCAAAATTCTAGTCCAAATCTCGTATCGTCTCTGTAAAAAGCACACATATGTGACCAAAAATTACTAATCTTCTCTTATTGTCGTTATTCACACTTGTTTCTCACTAATACCTTCTTCTTTCTCTTCACCCAAACTGGAATTGCCAAAGAACAACATTTTTCAGTCTCCTAGAGGAATCTGGTCAAAACCCAATTTCAATTCTGATATGAAAAGATCGTTTGTTGGGGTATTGTTTCAAAATGGAAACGTTCCTTGTGTGGGTGAGGACTTGCCGATTGAGTATGCTGATTGGTTACCTAAGAGGGACCAATGTGATCGTAGAAGAGGTGGAATTTTGCTACATCCGACGTCGTTTCCTGGAACTTACTTGTAATTTGTTCTAACAAAAGTGTTCTTCCATTTCCCTTATATCCTTCTTCAAAAAGAAATTAGATCTGATTATCTGAGAAGTTGACCCCTGGCTAGTTTCAATTCTGCTCCACTTTTTCTTGATTGTTCTTTCCCTAGCTCTTGCTCTTGCCTTGGCCCTTGAATTTAAAATTTTTATTTTGAAGATTTCTTATTTGATTATAAGTGGGTGCTGTTAAATATTGCTTATAATACCTTCTGGAAGTTCATACCGAAATTTAATAGCATTTGGAGCTGATTTGAGGTGATGAGATCGAAATTTTCAGCTGAAAATCGAAGAAGAATACAACTACCCAATAGTATACTGCTACGGTATACAATATGCTGTAGAAGTATATAGGGTATACTACAACAGTATACTATTATAGTTTAAAATATACTGCAACGATATATTGTAATAATCGAAGAATAACACAGTTACCTAACAGTATATGATGATAGATTATAATTACGTATTTTAGTCGCTTATTACACTCTAACTTACTGCACTTTAATTGGGTTTGAGCTTTAATCGCTAGTATTTTGCACTAATTGTGTGTTTATGCCTTGTAGGAGTGATTCTGAGCTATGTAGATGTTATGGAATGAATTCAAGTGATTTAGAGCTTTGAAGTCTGAGTAAAAGCCTAAGGAATTAAGCCGGGATCGTGTTCGGGGATCAACGGATGATAGTTAAGAACGAACGAAGAATCGAGTAGGCATATTGTGCACTGTATAGTAAAATACACATAACTTTTCGCTCAGAATTCCATTGGATCTCCACAACATATGATTGAAAAGTTAATTCAAAGGGCTACAACTTTTATGTTTTATGTTTTTCTGAATTCCAAACCGAACAGGGTGTCCAAAACAATGCACGACAAGTGATCCGCGGCCGCGGATATAACACTATGCAAAATCCGCGGTCAGGTCCGCAGTCGAATTCGCAGCCGCGGACGTCCTGACCTGGAAAAATGTCCTTTTTCGCGTAGGAGAAGGTATAATTATTTAGGCCCGACCCTACTTGGCATATATACATGGAAATACAGTATTTTGAGCACCTTTGACATACTTTTGACATAATTTATACCTAAGAGGCTAAGGAAGCCGGGGATTCGACCTAAGGAGGCAACAACACACTAGGAGCAAGACGGAGAATTCTTCTACGAGCTTTTTACTTCCTTCTTCCTATTTCTATTATTGGTTATGAATTCTAGTATTGTAGTTATGCATACTATTATGAATAGCTAATTTGTTATCTAGGGTTTTGATGGAACCTATTGGATAGGGGTGGGCATAAAATCGAAAAACCGAATTCCGAACCAAACCGAATTAATTCGATATTTCGGTTTCGGTTTTTTCGGTATTTCGGTCTAATTCAGTATTGCATTTTCAGTACGGTATTTCGGTACGGTTCTCGGTATTAGAATTTTGAAATTTCCGTATACCAAAATACTGAATTACCGAAATTTTAAAGCCTTTTTTGGACCCTGCCCACTTTTCCAATTGGAATCCCGAGTTAATGGAAATTTCCATTTCATGTTTAATTTCTCTCGCAATACATCGGAGAAACCGCGTGAAGCTCGTAAAAGCCGGAGCGGTGAAATCGATCGGAAAAGCACTGTCCACGGCGGAGCTGGGAACCGGATTAACGGATAAAGTGTTGAGATTGTTAGAATTAATATCTACGTGTAAAGAAGGGAGAGTAAAAATGTGTAACGACGGAGATTGCGTACAAGCAATAGTGAAGAAAGTATTGAAAGTATCGAACGAAGCAACGGAACATGCGGTAACGATTCTATGGAGCTTGTGTTGCTTGTTTCGGGATCATGAAGCACAGGAATCGGTGGCGAAGAGCAACGGCATGGCGAAGATATTGTTGTTGTTGCAAAGTAATTGTTCGCCGGCGGTGAGACAAATGGCTGCCGATTTGCTTAAAGTGTTTTGGGTGAATTTGAAAGTGGCGTCTTGTCTTTCTACTAGCTATGAATTAAAATTATATGATTTTGGGGCCCGAGTATCTCTCTGCTCCTTATTTGCAACTGATCTTGGTCAGTTGTTTTGTGCACTCTATACTTCATTTCCATGAAAGAGAACTAGATGCATGATAAAAAAATAATGGAAGTAAACATGACATTAAAAGGTAAGCAATACATGACGAACTTCTTTGCTTACAACTCGTGCTAAACATTGTGCACAACGTCCGCAAAAGATCAACAAACACTAACACTATGCTTAAATCGAAACCGTACCGAACCAAAATAATAAATACCGAACTGTACCAAAATAATTTGGTACGGTATTTGGTATGTACAATTGATAAATCGAATACCGAACCGAAATTCTTAAAAACCGAACCGAAATACCGAATGCCCACCTCTACTATTGGAGGATGATTTTCCTGTTACATTAATATAGATTTGCTGTAGCTTTTTCTCTATTTGTTCAACTACGTTTATATTGTGGTTGGTTGAAGAGCTCTCAATTGACTGTGCCTATTTAGTGTGTATTACTCGGGAGAGAATGCATATTTAGGTAGTTGTTGAACAACATCACTCCTAACGTATATGAGGGATCAATACGAAGGATTTAAATGTGGGATTAAGGATAACGAAACCTTGGGTGCGATCCGAGTGAGCCGTACTTAATGCCAGCTAGCGTAGTTCGGGAGAATATATTTAGTAAATTGTGGTAATTACTCGGGAGAGAGTTATAATAGTCAGAGCGCTCATGATCGGTAGAGAATACTTAGGCGAATTTATAGAAAACATAGCAGGATTGATTCCGACAATAGGGGAAATCATAACTCTAGACCTCCTTAATCTTGTCTCTAACCCTTAATATCTTTAGTTGTTAATTTACTATTTTAATTTGTTAGTTAATTAGTTAAACACAAGAATCTTAATATCTATAAGTTAGGAATCGTTCAAGCTTGTCTTCTTGGTGATATTGAACAGCTGTAGCTAAGCCTTAGTTCTCTGTGGGATTCGACTCCGGACTTGTAAACCGGATATATTTGCAACGACCGCTTAGTCCTTTTTATAAGGCATAGTTGGGCGTGATCAAATTTTGGCGCCATTGTCGGGGAACTAATGGTGTAGTTGTAGCTGTATATATTGCTAGGTTTCGAGTTTGAACTTTTTTTTTGTTTTTTTTTTGTATTTTTTTATTTTATTATAACTGTTGATTTGAGAAACATGTCATCTTGGAATTATGGGAATTTAGGTGTAGATAATTCTACTATTGACCCTCATACATATTGTGAAGGAAACCACTCGTATCAAAATTATCAAAATATTCCCGAGAGCGAGTTATGTGCACCAACTCAATCTTATTTGTGGAATGTGTGTGATGTGTGTGGTGGTAAAAATGGTCACTTTCATGGTTGTGCTTATATTTCTTATCTTTCCCCAATCCCTTACTATGACGGTTCTACCTTTTCTTGTGAAGTTAATAGGAACAAAGAACCTGGGGATGCAGACCTGAAGGAGATCAAGGATATGTTAAAGTGCCTTCTGGAACAAAATAATGAAAAACAATTGCAGATAGAAAGGCAAGAGGCAACTATTCGCAACTTGGAGGCTCAAGTGAGTCAAGTGGTTGAAGCTCAGCAAGTCAATTTTGGGGATAAGAGTCAAGAAGAGCGTGAATTTGAGGTGCTAATTGAGGAGATCAGAGTAGAACATCAACAACCTAGCTAACTATAATTTGAGGATGTCAATATTGTAGAAGTGAGACTAGAGTTAGCCAAGGACATTGAGGATATAAATTTTGTTCACTCTAGTATCATTGATGTTGAGGATGCTGAAAGTCCTGAAGTTTATATGTGTGAGCGCGTTGGTCCTCACTCCAAATATTTTTCTACATTGTGCTTGGATGACGATATAGAAATAAAGTCATCCGAGCCGATTGAGAAGTCAAGGAATGAAGGTGCCTAAATTCTGGAATTTTTCTTGCCAGAAAGACAGGACTACATACCTCATCTAAAAGCCAAGAAGAAAACTAAAAATTAAATTGAACTCTTTTTTTTTGTATTTTTGTTTTTTCTAGAGCTTCAACTAAAATTAAAAAAAAACAAATTGAAGATGGAAGATTTAGAAAAAAAGAACCCCTTCTTTAGAACCCTAGTTTTTCCTCCTAGAATTTTTATCAGCAAAAAAATCCCCCAAAATTCTGGAAAAGAGTACCAATCTATAGAAAATCCCGAAATTTCCATTTTCCATCCAAAAAACCCGAATTTTGCCCTCTCTTTTTAGCTTATCCTAGACAAATGGAGGGCTAGGATCAATTTCGAATTAATCCTACGCCTCTCCTTCGTCTAGCACGTGCTTAAGTGGTATTTTTGATGACTTGGATTGGGATTTAGAGGGAGCACGTGAAGGAATCTGAGTTAGTGATGGTGTGACTATATGGCAAAGAAAGAAGAAGAGAGGAGGGAAGCCAAAACACGTGCTGGAAAATGCTTTTCCGACGGATTGTGGCAGCGGGCAGAGGTGGAAAGAATGGGTGGTGTGGCTGGTCTTTGGAGATTAGGTCTAGTGTTTGGATGATATTAGCTTTATATATGGCATGAAGGAAATATCTTGGCCATTGGATTAAAATGGATGGAAGGCCAAGATTGAATCACTTAAACTGATGGGTCAAATGGGTTTGATGGGCGTGGGTCGCGTGTTATGGGTTAAAAATGGTTTGAGGGAGTGGGTATGGAGACTAGGATGTCTGGTTGGGCCTGAAAAATGCGAATCGGGCCGAATTCCTTGAAATTTTTTTTTTAAAATAAAATAAGACAGAACTTTTACCCAATTCTTTCTCTCTTCTTTTGCTCAAAAATAGTAAAATGTTAATTGACTTTAACTATAGTAAATCTACATTAAAATGAAACTATTTTTATTATTTTTTCAAAGATTATATCAAGGTAAAAATAGAAATACTATACATTAAAATGAAACTATTTTTATTATTTTTTCAAAGATTATATCAAGGTAAAAATAGAAAAGACAGATTACAATCATAATAAACTTAAAATAATTTTACTACAAAATACTAATCACCCTAAATGAAATAAAAATAAAAATGAGCACAAAATGAAACTATTTTTGTTTTTTTCTTTTTCAAATTTACGTTTATAAAATTAAAAATAAAAGTAAAATTGAAATCCTATATTAAAATAAATATTTTAATTTACTAATTTAAAAGTTGTGCTGGTAAAAAATTACGTGCTTACAGTGATTATGCACAACAGAAATGTTAATTTGAAACACCATCTACAACAACGCTTGAGCCTTGAATCCTGAAACAGGACTAAAGATGGCCATATGAACACTATATGTACTTTGTTTTTTCTCAACAACAGGTGGTTGATTTTGTCGGATGAAATAGAAAGGAGAGCAAATAAGAGGTGGGGGGACGCCTCTGCAGAAATATTTCAACAAACTGTGGTCAATTGACCACCCTTTGTTGGAATTTGAACTTACGTTAATTGGTTATAGCCTGAAAGGATAGTGACGTGGCCTCAGTGGTGGATATATAAAAGGCCTAATATTAAATATTGTGTGTGTGGATAAGTGAGACCCAATAACTATTGGCCCGTGATGGGTAGACACTCTTTATAAATAGAGGCCAACCCCCCTTTCCCTAGCTATAAGAAAACCCTTAGTGTATTCTGCCTCTTGAATACGTGGTAACGGTAGACGTCCCATCAGTCAAGTTCTCCGGGCTGTAAGAGCGCGTAGCTAGTGGATTGTGGAAGTTGGTCTCAGGCTTAATCGCCGTTGTTGTCGCTGCTGAATTCATGGAGTTTAACGGTACGTTTTCTTAGACTCTAACTCTAGATTAATTGTGTAATTGTGTTTTAATCTCTGCTATAACTGCAATTTAATAATCTTACAGTTGGTATCAGAGCCACAATAGTTTGGAATTATGATCAATTGTTCTTATCATGGGTTTGAAAGCAGTAGTCTCATCTCATCTCATTGACGAACTGTTATTTTTGAAGTCTCAATGTTGTTTTATCTCTTGTATTGGTCCTTTTACCAATGAAATTAAAGTACATAGCAGTTTCGTTAATTGATGTAAAAATCACAATACTTTCCGCTGAAATATTATCGATTTGCTTGGAACCGATCCAAAAGAAGGAAAAAAGTTAGGTTTTGAAGTTATCGGCACTGATCGGCTATTGAAATAGTTGTGTAAGAAATAAATTTTGTGATTGGTTAATTCAATACACATAGCGGCGCAAAGTGATGGGTTGTATTGTTCCAAGAAAACACTGTTTTAACCTAATATTTTGAGATAACCTGACTTTGTCTTTTGGTGTATGTAGTTGATATTTTTTTATTCTCCCTATAGTATATTCTCTTGCCAACATTCTGAATTACAACTTTTCTTGTGACAGTAAAAGGACCTTGAAAGTGCTTAGTTAAAGTTGATTTAGCACTTACATGATATTATAAATTTTGTCCTTTTATAACATGTCTGTTAACGTACTGTGAACGTTAATGATATAATTATGAAACTTTTCTTGATTTTATTAGAGAATTAATTTAATAAATACTAAAATATTTAATCATATACGGGCTCTATTTTAATTTTACATGTATATTATATTGGTTAAATAAGAAATTATGATAAATAAATAGTTTCCACCAAAGTGGTCTATTTATTTGGAGTCATTGGAAATTCTTAAAACTAAATACATGTGAGATCATTTAATACATGGATTGAGAGTTAATATTAATAGATAGCTTCCACCAAAGTGGTCTATTTATTTGAGTCATTGAAATATTCTCAATGTACCATGTCCAAATTATTCTTTACAAGAGTATACTAGTGTTGGAGATTTTCCTTTTGATACTAGTGACGCGAAATTAATGCTAAGGATAAGTTGTTGTAAGAGGAGGTTTTGTGTCTCTTACCTAAAGGAAGGACACAATATATGCCTTGTACTCTTGGATAATAAAGGGGAAGTTTTGTATCTCTTGCCTAAAGGTGAGGTTGCAATGAATGCCTTGGACTCCTTATTATTTTTAAAAGGGGAGACAGTAACATCTTCTACCCAAAGGAGGGGTGTGATGGATGTCTTTGACTCTT